CACACACACACACACACACACACACACAAAACATACGCACACGTACACATGATATGCAGCTCGTTTTGCAGTGCTCCCTGCTGGACTGTACTGTCAAGTTGAGTCTACTCACCCCGATATTGTACGTAAATAGAAAACAAAAAGAACACGATCCTAAAGCACTTCTCCTTTTACGCTGGATTCGGCTTTTCTGTTGGATGCGTCTTACTTTTGCTTGGAAAAATCTGTTCAGAGTTAAAATTAAAAGTAAAGTTTCGTCGGTGATGGGCCTATAATTAGAATTAATTGTGTTCTAATGGATATTTTTCTGATGAACCGTTTTTATTGCTTGTTTGTAGTTTGCTTGCTTCCTTTTCTTCGTCTTTTGGCAGTATTTCATTTCGTTTCATTTTGGAATTAGGCTTAGGCTACTGCCGTTCTTACTCTCCAGCTTAGGTTTCCTTTATAATCTTAAACATCACTGTCCCCGTTGAAATGCCATTCCTGGGTTATTGTGGTTTTCTTAAGCTTGTATATTCTTTGTCTCTAATGCAAAAGAGAAAAAAAGCGAAACAGTTTCAATAACAGAAACAATCAATCCATTACTTAAATATTCTTGATAACCTCCAATCCCTTACCGTTTCCAGACACTTCTTCTATTCTTTTATAAATTTTTTTTTTAAATTCTCCTTTCAGCCCAGATGCCCTCTATGCTGGGCACAGGTATGCCAGGTGCTATGGCCGGTATGCCAGGTGCTATGGCCGGTATGCCAGGTGCTATGTCCGGTATGCCAGGTGCTATGTCCGGTATGTCAGGTGCTATGTCCGGTATGTCAGGAAACAAGGCTCTGCCCTTGCCACCTAACCAGGCCCAAATGTTGTGGCAACAGTTCTTCCTATACCGCATGATATTCGGAGATGCTGCGGCCAGAATGATTATGGCCGACAGACTGGCTACCATGATGGGAGGAAATCTTATCAGCAGGTACAGCCTTTTCTCGTATTAAATGTTTCGGAACTGTTGACCTTTATACTGACGGTGGAGGTGTTGGGGCTGTAAGTGGTGGAGGTGGAGAGGTTGGAAATGATTATGATTATGCTGCGATGATGATGATGATGATGATGATGATGATGATGATGATGATGATGATGATGATGATGATGATGATGATTTTTTTTCCGTTTCCTTAATGGGCCTGACGGACTTCACGAAGAAATTTTCGAGCGAGAGCGAGGCTCTTTTTCGGCTCCTTTGTCAATATGCTTAGCGGCACCTCCACCCGTCCAAATAACTCCATTCGAATTACCATTGTTCCTGGACATTCAAACATATGTTTGATATCCTCTTTGGCGAGTAGAGGTGAATCTTTGCAGTGACCTGATGATGATGATGATGATGATGATGATGATGATGATGATGATGATGATGATGATGATGATGATGATGATGATGATGATGATTTTTTTTTGTATCATGTTCCTGACGAAGCCCTTTACCGGGCGAAACGTTGAACCTTTATTAAATTTGAAAACTCTACAAGTCTCAACCCTGTTTTATTCCCTGATACTTACAATGATGATGATGATGATGATGATGATGATGATGATGATGATGATGATGATGATGATGATGATGATGATGATGATGATGATGACACTTGCTCCCATCGATACTAACAAGCACATACACGCGCATACACACGACATTCCATAAAACGCTTCATCCTCTGGATTATTTCAGGTACTACGCCGGCGAGTATTTCGACACCCCCGACTCCTGGTGGCTCACCTCATCCCTGATGAACAGGAACCAGAACCAAGCTGGAGTGGGCGCGACTTCCGGAGCAGCCAACGTGCCAGGAGCTGCGCTTCCGGGAGTCGGCGCTGCTCTCGCTGGGGCAGGCGCTGGGTCCATCTAAAAATAACATTTCGGAACCGTTAGACTTTGACATCCACTTTGTTTTTTGTTTTTTTACTGCAGTGTCTAATTTATTAATCATGTTGGATTTTCTTGGTTTTTTCATGAACCAGCAGTGAAGGCGATATGAGTGGGGAGTGCTCGGTTTGATTGATGATTTTGATGAAGCCAAAAATATGTGTTCATTGTGGTTTTTCATTCCTATCATTATACATATTTGATGTGAAGAGTTCGATCTGATAATTCATCATAGATACAATTTGAAATCACATTGTTCTTTTTTTTTAAAGGATAACAAGGGAACCGTATGACACGTATGTCAAATTTGATCATATAAACACCAGTCTTTATTCAGTGAACATGTATATTCATAATTATTATTAATAGTATTCATAGCAGTTTTTCCTCCATAAATACAAAACAACTATGCGTTTATATAACTCTCTCTCTCTCTCTCTCTCTCTCTCTCTCTCTCTCTCTCTCTCACACACACACACACACACACACACACACACACACACACACACACTGTGAACATTGAAAAAACAGAATCCTATGCCAAAACTTCTCACAAAACCTGTTTTCACGCACAGATGACGCATTAGCTCCTACTCTTCTCATTTGATAACAAATCCAATCTCCACCATTCAAACCAAAGCGCATTTTAAAGTTTTTGTTTGCTTGTTTGTTGATTTCATCAAATTGTGGGTATCTGCATGAGTCATTTCTTTCGTAAATTTATCAAAAAATATTCATCATGTCAACTTTCTTTTCCGTATTAACATTATAACCAGGTTTGGTGAGACATCTTTTCTCTCCAATTTGCTCAAAGGTCTTTCCCGTCACAAGATTCATGTTGTTGTTGTTCTTGTTGATCTTGTTGTTTTGTTTTTTAACCCTGAATACAATATTTTTTCATTTCATTTTCATTATTACTTGTTATGACTGACTTCATCATATCACACATCGCAGCACAAACACAAATTTAGTATCGTACAAATCACACACAGGAAAAGCAGTATCAATATTATTAAGATCAAGAGCCAAGTTGTGTGACGGTGCGTTCTCTTAGCAGGTTTGAAGAAAAGAGGCAGCTTTATGTCTTTCAATCTTGACGTCAAGTCATTCAAATGCTGTCCAATGTTACAAGGTTTCGCGTAGTTCTGAATAGATTTATACATGACATTCATATCCAGGATTCTAGTGGGAACGCTCTGCCATAAGACATGCACTTTAAAAGGTCACCTAGTCTGTTCGGCTTGTTTTTCTCTGTGTACTGCTGTGTCTCGATATAGCTGGGATGACTCAATGTTAACCATATTATTAAACTTGAAGAAAGTACTTTTGCCGGAAAGAAATTTTATACGCCCCTTTAATACAATGTATCAAGTTAAAAGAAACACGCTTTCAATGTCGCGACTTTAAATCGGATTTGCTTCTAACCTCTAGAACTATTTTACATAGTAAGATTAGATCTACATATTTCATATCGAATAAATAACTATGTCTTGTGAAAGGGCTTAACTTAGTGTAACGAGAACAAGCTTATTTGTGGCTACTGAAGTCGACAGACACCACTTCTCCGTCCTCGGCAGTACAAGAAACATGTTGTTCTTTAGGAAGAGCTATTCGAGTTTATACACTGCAGAGCTCTTCTTAGTTCTTGACACTGTTTTCACTGTCTTCTTTTCATGACTCTATCATTCCTTCCAAGGAAAGTGTGAGCTTGAACTCGCCGTCTACTTTATAAGTAGGCCTTATAATTATTTTGCTTAACACTTTTAGCTCGGTAAAGCAGCAGGGTATCAGACATTCAGAAACAGTTCGCTTGCGATCGGTAATGAATCTTATAATTTACATGTATTTTGAAGTCATATGTACTGTATGTCTGTATCTATCTGTAGATGGATGTTTATGTGAATATGAACACATGTGATATTATGTGTGTGTTTGTGTGTACAAGTACCGATATGTTTACACATTCACCCACAAGCTTGAGTACGTTTGTTTTTTTACTTTGTGCACTTGCTTTTAAATGTATTTTTAGTTCGAATGTGTGGATTTTTTAGTGTAAAGTAGTACGATTTGGGGGAATGTGACAAGGTAGGCGTTCAAAAGCTAAATATTAAAATTTGTGTAGACGATACTGTGTACCTTTATTTTGTACGTTCTTTAGAAACGCTTTGCAATATATGTCATTCTTTTGTGATTTCATGAGATTGAGAAGCTGTTGTTTACAGTTCCCCTAAGGTCAAAAGCCGTATCGGTACTAAAAATCACGAGATACTTTTTTGTCACTTCGTACTAAATAAGTGAAGAATATATTGTAGGTAATATTATCTTTATCTTCGGCGTCTGATGACATAAAAGGTTGTGAAGAAAGAGAAAACCAAAATTTAGCCAAGGGCTGGAGGAAAATGGGTCTATTTAGTACAGAGATAATTTGATTTTTACAGACCTGTACTCTTTAAAAAAATCAGGTCTGTTTCATTGCAATCGTATGTAATGTAAATAAAGCAAACAAAATACTTTACCTCTCTCGTTTGAGTTGTTTCATTAAAGCCAGTATGTTTAAACAGTACAACATTAAGCTGTTGTGTACAGAAATAATGACAGGAGTTATTTTTTCGTTTTTGTTTGCTTTTTAAAAAAATGTTACTAGTCTCTCTCGCTTCCAGCCTCCTTTCCATCGGTCCAGCCCCTTTGAGTAAAAAAGAAATAGTGGTGATCGTCCAATAGATCTTGGATGTCATAATCGTGCAGTATCATAACCAGCGCAAGATACTGGTATCAACACTATGTAAGTAAAATTCAGGCTAAGATAGATAGATAGATAGATATATATATATATATATATATATATATATATAGGCCTTACCACAGGTCTGTAGCCTCTTAGGATCCTTTCATTTCACCCCGCCTCCCTCCCCTCCCAGAGCACACACCATACACGAGCACGCGCAATCACATGCAATTAAACATTTGATAATACCTCCCCCTCCCCTTTCCCACTTTTTGTTTTTCTTTTCTTAATAAGCAGGAGAATATAGATTTTTTATTTAAAAATCATAATCAGACTAAGATTATCTCTTAGAAGACACACCTGGTGCTTCTGATGTCAAAGACACGCCAGTTTTGGAATTAATGAATCAGTTACTGTCGTCAATGGATGGCTGCCTCTGAGATATATAACACATACATAGAGTCTAGAGCAATAGGCCCACGGTATGCCAGCATTTTCAATTAACTTTTTTTTTTTTAAAGAATAAAGTAAACAAAAAAGGGACTGACTTCTACATAGTCGTCCCGAACGCTGATCAATCAGATAATACATGTTGTAGATCGAAAAGAATAGCACACCTTTCCATTCTGATGATACAAATACAACGAACATCATACTAATCATACCTTCTGTCCTGTCACACCCTTTTCCAACTCATGGGTCATAGGTCATTGTACATGTATTATACTTAACGCCCATATCAACACTGTAAGTCAAATCCCATGTCCGAGCCAAGTGGGTGGAAAGCCTTTATTAAACACTCCCTGACCCAACCCAAGTTCTGAGTGCTCCGCTGGGGGATTCGAACGAGAGCCATCCACGCCATAGTATAGCCTGATACATTTATTTTACCAACTGAGCTAGCTTACGGCGGCATTTTCCAATTCACAACGAATCAGAATACCAACATACGCTTGTAAACTTAACTCATTCCCTTAAATTTAGATTTAAATGTACATATTACATGTATATGTATATATGTATATATGTATATGTTGCTGTACCAGATGACTGGCACAAAGTGACATCACCAAAGTACTTTGTGTTATGATGCCAGCTCTACAAAAGATGATGCGGGGCTCTCGTGGTCTAGAGGTTAAGGTGTTCGCCTCTCATTCGACGGGTTCCGAGTTCGAACCCGATAGCGACGGAAAATTTTCTTCTCGAAAATTAAAAGGTTCTCCTTTCCCATCATTTCCTGCTCTCTAACAATGTTCTGTTGTCTGCTTTCGTCTCCACTTTCTGCCCCCACCCCCTCACCTCCTCTGTCCCCTTCCTCTGGGCCCCTGACTCTTTCTGCAGCCTTTCTACTGCTACTCCTTGGCTCCTTCTTACTGCTGTCTTTCAGCCACACCCCTGACCTTATTGTAGGTAAGATCTAACACCTAACCCTAGCCTTCTCGAATAGGGGCAAAAAATCTGGAAGGGCCCATGTGCAAGTTGCGCACGTTAAAGATTCCTTGGTGGTCCAAAATCGATAAGAGTAGGCTTAAACTTAAAATGGTGTCACTCTACTACATTTTACTAAGCAAACCCTTAGCTTCTGCAAGCTCAATTCAGATAAGCCACGCCCATCATATTATAATGAATGCGAATTGACATGAAAAGTCAATATCTGGATTTCTATAAAGTGCCACATCAGAAAACCTGTATTATTTTACTAACATATTTTATTCTGTCCCAGTCCAAGTCCAAGTCCAAGTCAAGCATCTGCTTAGGTTTTCCAAGCAAGTCTCTCCGAGTCTACCCCTGCCTCGTTTGTTTTATATTTTTACAGTGCCAGCTAGATAATCCAGATGATCACGCACTTGTGTTGATTCAAGTGTCCCAGAAACTGTAGTTGTCACTTCCTTTCACAATTTTAGTGAGCGGCCCGCCTGTGCTTCTTTCCGCACTTCCTTGTTTGGTTTTTTCCCCCTCCGTGACAGTCCCCAGTCTTCCAAGAAACCACATATAAAATGTATGTTGCTTCTATTTTCCGTATCTTTGATAACTGTCCAGCGTTCACAGCCGTATAGAAGTTCAGTCCAACCTTGTTATACTGCCTACCTTAGATCGAGCATGAAGTTGACGGTACAGCGGGCTGGCTGTACAACGAGGTTTTCATGTCCAATGTTAAATACAGGTACTATATGTAATAGTAGTAGCACCGACTGCCCAGCGTACGTTCAAGTTAAAGGAACATGTTAACCTATCACTAGCTGAAGTAATAAGTTATCACCCTTCGATCTGTCACTGTCACTTAGACGTAGACTTGGGGCACTTGGGCGTGAGTCCTCACTCAATAAAAGCACCATGGGCATTCGCCAGCTTGTAGGTTATTGGGCTGGTGATATCTGGCGACGCCAGATAGTTTGCCGAGGGGATGGTGAGATGGCGTGGGTCCTTGAAAGTTTCTTCAGGCGACTAAAAAATATAATTCCAATTTTTTTTTAAACATGTTGATCAAAGCTTAAAGTAAAGATAATAACATTTTTCCAAATCAGCGCATCATGTGGTGAGCGAAATTTGATGCTGAATTACAAAGTTATGTTTTATCATAATTGTACTCTTCTACATTTTTACACATGATTGTATTGTGTTCACTTCACTGTAAATCTATCCATATTGTCTGAAATCTACAAGACAAGGGGGGGGGGGGTGAGGTAGGAAGGACGGGGAGGGAGCAAATCGGGGGAGAGGGTTCGATCAAAACCTAGGCCTAGCTCGTAGAGACTTGTGTGTTAAAGTTAAAGATTGTCAAGCAACCACCGAGTGGAGTTGCTGTGCGTCGTGACGTCGTGTGTAGCCAAGTGTGTACCGGTACTGTGTAGTTTTGGAAACCAGTTCGCTGGTGGTAAATAAAAGCGGGTTAAATTTACAGTACATGTAGTTAAATAAGGACCGTACAACCGAGACAGTGGGCGGATGGCGGCGTAAAGTATCAAGTAAAGGCGCAGATACATGTACATGTACTATGTAGAATATAATATATTACTGGGATTCTTTTCGTACATTGGCAAAACCTGGCGGTACAACGAGGTTTGACTGTAGGCTATGCTATTATGAAGAATGGTTGTTTGTACATATATGTAGCCTTTAAGAACTTTTTAGGACACATTAGTGTAGCCAATTAGATGTTTCTAATTTTCCGGATTGAACTCATTTTTATTGAATCTGTCTTCAGCTTCTTTGATTTTTCGTTTTATTTCCGTAGAATATGTGATATAATATACATTATCATGCAGTTTTCTTCAGTCACCAATGCCAATAATCCTTTACATTCATTTTCCGTCACGGTCACAAACGTATCTAGAAATAAAGCAACACGTGCATCAAATACATACACTCTATAATAACAAGGCCTATAGTGCCCAATAGTGATGTTACTCGACATAAACCCTTTGCATTATTTATAGAGATTCAGGAGGCTCGCTCAAAGTTAAAGCGGCCAACTACTACTACCTTTACAAAGTACAGTGGAAACCTAATATAACAGGGATGGTGGGACCAGAGAAAAAGTCCTGTTATATCAGATCCCTATTAAATCAGAAATGCAAGGGAAGTAAGCATGTGTGGACTAATTCGGCTGTATTTATTCATGGGTAGTTTCCCATGACCTGCGCATGACACGACATTATGCGTGCGTAGTGCGTGTAGCTTGGCTTAGGGCTAGATCGAAATCTGCAGCCCAGCACACTGCAGCCCTCTCTCGCTTCACCCGTTGTGTGTGCTTGCAGTGGTGTGGTTTGCGTGAGCTTGCTCCTTTACTGCGTTACTTTCTTTCTTTCTCTCTCTCTCTCTCTCTCTGTCTCTCCCGTACTTTTTACACATTGTTAACGAGCCTTTGTCCCTGCTATAACCGATTGGGCTATAGACAAACGTCGTCACAGAGAGTTGAAAGCTTGAACATTAATGGCAACTTTGGCCATTTTTGTGGCAACTTTTGGACCAAAAAAAATGGCAACAAACGCAGATGCTAGACTTTCCAAACACAGATCGCACAGCAGAATCATGTCTCTTGACGTTGGGAGGTCGGGGCTACACATGTAACAGAGGAATCCTGGTGAAGTTGAACTGCCATGCCCGCTATTCCGCCAACTTCATGCTCGTCCCAAGGGAGGCAGTATAATGAGGTTTGACTGTACAAGTGGTTAAGTTTACAATTTTAATTGATGTTTCTTTCTCTCCTTGAACCATTGGAAGTTCAAGTAACTCCAGACGAGCCATCAATCATCCTTGGGACTGACCCCAGCACAAGACACTATCGGCAGACAAGATGGGGTTCTTGCTGCTCCACCACGGACTGCTGTGCCGACAGAAAATGGTTCATTGTCCAAGAAACACAATGCGTCAATACATCATAACGTGTATTTATAGTTATAGCTCTTATGCTCACGCTGTCACCTAAGGAACATGTTGAATAGTTTGGCAAACCCTGCTTGTCTCTACTCTAGTCATTTAAGAGTAGGAGGCTGGCTGCTTCAACCCTGTGCCAAGTACAGATGTGTAGGATACTTAACTCACAACCACTAGCATCCAATCAGAAAGAATGAGACATTTGATACCGGGTAATTTTCCCACATGAAAACTAGTTCTAGGCCTAGTGTAGGCTACTCGTCACTCGACTTTCACAAGCAGGGAGATGCTTTTTACAACTGAAACTTGTTTGCTATTTTCACTTTTGGTTACAAGACTGCATGTATAGTTTTCTGCTTAACCCCCCCCCCCCCCCCCCCTAAAATTACCATGCAGTTTTCTTCAGTCATCAGTTACCTTTAACACACATATATATATAATATATATTTACCATCACAGTCACAATTCTAGAAACAAAGGAACACGGGCATCAAATGTTCTTGTTATGCAATTGTTTATCGCATTGTGTGGTATACAGAACAAGAATTGTAAGGGCCCAGTGCCCGTTTATCTGAATACCGCAAGGCTGTACAAAGATCAGGACCTCCAAATTTTATAAAGTCTATTTCCATCACGACTGTGTCAGGTGAGGTGGGTGGAGAGCCTTGAATTGTGGACTCTCACCTGGGCCATCAGCAATACCCCCCCCCCCCCCACTCATGATACTGATACCAACCGAGTTAATAAATATAACACACTAAAAAGAAGGGTTAGTCGCATGATGAATTTTACCAAGACGGCAAACTTTACATAACGGCAATTGCAGACTCAAACCAGTGTTGAAGTTGAAGTGATCCAAGAGTCACAACTTTAATTCAATCACAAATATTTGAAGTTTTTCTAAAATACTGGGTGATCCATAAAAAAAACTTTACATTTTTTGGTAAATACAGTCGAACCTGTGTAAGGCGGAATCGCAACAGAGCGGGGAAAAAATTCCGTCTTAGACAGGGGAATTTAGGGAGGCCCAACCGGTGGGATCAAGGATCGCTTGTCCGATCGGCAAGCAGTGGTCAAAACTCCAAACCTCTCAATTGCTATCCTGTCTGATAATGGCATGCGTCAGTTTTACTTCCAATTACCACCAGTGCTTGCTTTTAATAGGACCACTGTTTGACCTATTAAAAACAGAAATGTTTGAACATCTCCTTTGCTTCCACCCTTAGCCCCACCCAAAGGTGCCACCCCTCACTGCCATCATTGTAACAACGATTCGAGGAAGTTTTTTCTCGGCTGGCATTGGTCAATCTAATTTCACACCTCTGGCTTCTGGCTACTCAAAGTTTCCGCAGTGGCTCGCTACTCGAGCACTCTCTCGGGCAGTCGTGAGATTTCACACCCACACTACACTGACCATCTGCATCGCTCAGGGCTCACATGATGGGGTAACATCTACCCCCTAATTGCACCCCTACTCCCCTTCTTCGTCCAGCGGCATGGCCATTGCCTTAAGTTTATAGCCGACGGAACTAAACTTGCGAGTTTTGTTTCAAATCAGGGCCGAGCGGTCAAAGCATTTTCCGTCTTAGACAGGTGAAACCCTCGGAAGGGAGCGGATTTTTCTTTCCGTTTCCGCGTTGGACAGGTTTCTGTTTTACACAGGTAATTAAAAAGGAATATCAAGGGGGGAGCGGGAAGATTCCGTTTTATGCAGGTTCCCGTTAAGGCAGGTTCGAATGTATTATTTTCCTCCACGTTAGCGCTTTGTGTTTCAAATTTGAAAACAATATTTGGCAGCCAAAAGAAATTTGTCTGATATTCATTTTTGATAGTTCCACAGAACAGTAGTTTTGCTCCGTGGTATAGCGCAAATAAAAACAACACATTTTGCCTTGTCTCCATTTGTGTACATGTAGCATGAAGCACCAGTTTGCATTAAGCAAAAGTAAAAGCCGTAATAATTGCGCCATATTCATATTGCAAGGTTTTGCAGCCGAACACAAGTCAACAGAAGTTTGCAGATGTTTGTTTTTTTCAAGTTTCCTTCGTCTGCTGAGATAATACATGTACATGTAGTTAAGTTTAGTAAAGAGCAAAGAGCTTTTTTGTATTGAGCATTACCTCGCCTCAACTCATATCCATGACATTTTGTAAGTTTCGATCAAGGTAGGAAATGAAAGCTAAAGTGCCCTCAAGGCCTCTTCACTCACACTCACACCCCTTTAAATGCCACAAGGATACTTGTACAGAATTCAGTTATCGAGTCCCATCAGACGCCTGTCACTTTCCTACACCTCAACGGTCCGCTTTCTCTCGCCTTCACCTATGACAGTATCATTTTCAGGTTCGTGAGATTGAAATGGACCAGAGGATGGCAATGTGTTCATGGTTCCTAGGTCGTCTTGAAAACACAAACATTTCCTCAATTACATTTATAATTTATGGTTCAGTGGTAATGCCCATTTTCACCTTTCAGAACATGTAGTTTTAGGCATTCATGGTATGGCGGGTCCTTATGTTTGGCCACCATAAACGGCATGTCAGAAATGTTTTGTATCCATTTCTAGAATACCAGTGTTAGTTTTTAAATTCTAATATAAGAGGAATGAAACATTGTTTAACCCTATCCGCCCGTCATGTTTTACTATCGTATCCATACAACGAAAGGAACTCTTTCAACTTTGTTTGTTTTGTTTTAGTAGAAGATTTACGGTGCTCGCAACTGCATAAGGTCATATGAGCGCCAGAAGATTAGAGGTGTTACAAGAGAGTAACAAAATATAAAAGAAGTAGGGGAGATAAGGACGATAGATGTTTGATAGGAAAGAAGAAGCAAACCACACCAGAGTCCCCGCCAACCACCCAAAGAGGAAATTTACTCATTATTACGATCTGTACGCTTTGCATAGAAGTCAGACAAAATGATTTTTTGAGAAATACTGAAAGTTTCAAAGAAATCTTCTTATTAGAAGTATTCTAAAATGTGAAGAATACAACCCCGGGGGTACAGAATGACCCCAGGGTGTACGGATAGGGTTAAATGTTACAAGAATGCAAAAATTAAAAGTTAGATAGAAAGAAAAGGGGGGGGGGGGGGGGGGAAGGCAATTGATTCATGACTTTCCTTTAAATATTTTTAATTGGTGCATTTTGAGTTTTTATAGGTATTTCTTTCTTCGTTTTCGATTTCAAAAATAAGTTTTATCTTTATAGAATTTTATATTAAGCAAATTCCTTTTGAATGAATATCTGTTCCAAATTACAGTATTCTAGAACAATTTCTGTGTGAGATGTTAAGAAAAAAAGTTGTTACGTTTTTGATTGGATCACCCTGTATCTCATGGCAGTCATGGTGCAAAATGTCACTATCCCAATATATAAAAGTTTGACAGGAATCGATGTACAGAAAAGTGGGAAGACATGGAATAACATCAAGAGGCTAGACAAGGATACAGAAAGGTGGAAGGTGTTTGTCCGTGGCCTATACCCTGGTGCAGGGTGAGAAAAGCAATGATGATGATGATAAAAGTTTGAAAATGACAAAATGAACAGACAAATTCAGAATATTCAGTTTGGTAAATCTACCACTTTATTACATTGATCAAGTCCTAAAGGGGAAAACATGAATGATGACCACTAACTGACTCAGTGATGTGAATGCAATGGGGGATGGGGGGGGTCAGATGAGAGTAAGGACAAAGCTCAAGTAAATTCCTCAACGCCCTCAGGAAAGAAGTGCAGAGAAAATCTCAAAATTGTCTGAAAACCACTAAATCAGGCAAATTTTTTAACAATCACAAAATGATGAAAAAGAATGTTTATATATACAAAACAAGTATGTTAGCTACCGAAGCCTTTTCAATCCTCAATATGTCCACTCTGTATGTAAAAGTTTGGATGACGTTGACTCACTTCTATGGCTTTCTGGTACAATGAAGCGTCTGTGGAAGCAAATAAAGCATTTGAGCAGTTAACACAGTGAACTGCATCACCTAACAACTCTAAAATTTACGAATTGTAATATTTTAAAGACATTTTCAGAATGGCTACTTTATTCAAGCAATTTTCAAACTAGTTGTGATAACTCTACTGATATGAAAGAAATCTCACTTTTAGGGCACTTATACCATACGGAGAACAGGCTTAATTATAATGCTGTCAAAATACATAGTGAAAGCTCATAGGCCACGAGAACATCTATGTCCCCTTACGTCATACACTCTGATAACAGAGTTCAGTTATAATAGGACATCATTTCGGTCCTGGCAGTCCTATGTAATCGCCAGGGACCACGGCAGTTCCCTTTTGTAACCCCACCCTCATTAGAGTCTAGACCAGGTTTGAGATTGTTGAGATTGACATAGGAAGTTGTATGATGACTAAAACACTATTAACCATTTAACTCCTGGGAATTTTCCCGATGCATGCCCCGAAATCCTGAAAAACGGAGATAATCCTCTATAAATAGAATGTGTATGATGTCTTTTAAAAAATGCTTAACAAAATCATCAGGGAAAAGGGCAAAGTAACTATAATAAATATTACAAAAAGGAAACTGCTTACAACGAGCCAGTCTCTATTTGTGTACTGTATGGGCAAGTTATTTATTTCTCCCAATATAGTTGTGACTGTCAGGTTTTCATGATATTATAATAGATAGAGAAATGAACTTTCAATGTACCGGTATTTTTGTTTGGTCAAGATTGCTTCACGGGCTGAATTTTTATGTCTTTTCAAACGTTCCTGGGATTTGTCCAAGTACCAACTCCATTGCATCCTCCATTTTGTCATATTTGCTCAAAAGATCCACACACACACACACGCACACTATTTCGTGGTCAATTACCGCCATTCAAAAGCTCAAAGAAAGAAGAACAATTCTACTTTCCCTTTAAAAGCTATTTTCAGTTACGGTAGTTCTAATCAGACATTCTTCCTAGACTTCATACAAATGCATACCATGGCAGTTGAGTGTTGCACGTTGGTTAATTGTTCGTCATATTTGTACGCCTTCTAAAAATGAAATTTAGCTCTGTCTTCAGAAAAATAAGCAACACCAAAGTTGTTTTTCACTTTGTAAGGCAATGTCAAAACGAGCAACTCATTTTTCTTGCCACAGCAATGATGTGAAAGTAGACACCATTTGTTTTTGTCTAAAATATTTTTTCCCAAATTATAATTTTTATATCTTTATTAAAAATTCTACAGAACACGTATAATCTGAATGTAATGGTGATTTGCACCCTGCTTAATACGACTTCTATGCTACGTGAAGAACAGCAATTAATGGTGGTGTCCTCTGAATGTTCACCATTCACCTCAAACATCGAATATGAGAGGTTGATAACTATTCAAATCTAATCAGCAGGTTCACAAGAAAAGTCATAAAACTGAGTGCAAAGTTTTCATATTTTATGCAGTTTCAATTACCAAAGTTTGCACTTGCTTCCTCAGAGAAAACCACAACATTCTCCGCCTCCAGGGAAGTCTTAGAACGCACTGTGCCTGTGACTTCTGTCAGTCCTGAGACCCTTTCTCTCAGCTAAGCAAAAGAAAAAGAAAAGAAATTGATAAGTACATATGGAACAGCAATTATACATTATGTATCATTTCATTCCGTGTTATGAAATAACTTTTAGTCTACAAAGGACCCCACAAACGATTAAAGACTCAGTAAACTGAGCAACTACACAGTGGAAAACAATAAATCTATTAAACCTTTTCCAATTCACAGCCACACTGTCATTTTTAAAAAACTTGATCAACGCAAAGATATTCACCACAATTATCAATGAATTACTGGAATGTGAACATATACATTCTTTGAAAAAGCTGACCCCGTTGGAACAATACAATTATACGGTTTACATAATTATAAAAGCTTTTATATTCATAATGTCCAACATCTAGCCCAAAAACAACAACTACATGATTTAAATTTGGTGAGGAATACCGCAGATCAAAATAGCAACTCTGAAAATAGCTTCAGAACAGTCCATTGTAAAAAGCTTAAAATAAACGTGTACAGTGTATTTATTATGTTTAAATGACAAGACCACTCTATTGAGATGGAAAATGTAGGAAGAGTTTTAACCCTTCCAGCCCCAGCCATTTTTGTGCACTCCCTAACCCCAGTCCCAGCTAATACAGCAGTATTTCAGAAAAAGAGGCATGCATTCTAATAAATGATGCAGTATCTTTGTAATGAGGTTTAGATGATAACATGTAGCAATGTATAAAGGAAAATGAACAAATATTATGAACATTAAGTTTATTAGGTTCGTTAATTTCGAAAAATGCACAAAATTCGGTTTCCCCCGAAACTGAGAATATACGCCCTTGGGTTGGTGGGAGGTACAAGCACTGCTGAAAATATACGCGCATGGGGCTGGAAGGGTTAAAAAAGTCCATCACTGTCATTTGAACAGAAGGCCATCAGGGTTGGCAACCAAAAGCATGGGATTGTCTTTACTCAAGGATGTACTGGAGAGAGAGAGAGAGATAGAGAGAGAGAAAGAGAGAGAGAGATAGAGAGAGAGAGAAGAGAGAGACAGAGACAGAGTGGAGAGAGAGAGAAAGAGGATTACTATAGGAGCCGTGCGCTGCATATGTTCGTAGCATTATTGTACAGCGTATTGAGCACTTCTTTGTGGAAAAGCGCTATATAAATGCAATTTATTATTATCATAGATAAATATAAGTTAACGAAAAGAAGCTTTAACAAGAATAAAAAAAGAGAGTCACTCAAATCTAAGGAACTCGTATTTGCCTGTTCTTATTTTTAGCATGTTCCTTTTTTTGAGAGGGAGGGGGGGGCTTGGGTACACCAGACTACACAGTTCAGTACAAATAATGTAACAGTATTAAGATTTAATATGTAAGAGATAGATCAACACACCAAAAACTATCATAAATAAAGTAAAAGTATCAATTAATGACACAGGAAAATGAAGTGATAGCACTCACCGGCTCCTGCATTTGAATCCTGATGTCTTGATTATCACAAGTTGTAAGAGTGAAGAAATTTCCACCACTGTCAACCTATAAGGAAGAAACAAAATTTGCTGTGATCAAACAAGGTTTCTGGGTTTTTTTTTTAGTTTTAGTAAGGTTTTACGGCACTCGCAACTGCATACACGGTCATAAGAGTGCCAAGGGGTGGATGTCAAAAGAGAAATCCAAACTGGGAATCAGGCTTACCCTGCTTACCACTCTAGCCTCAACAGCACAAAGTCTACTTCAACTATCAAGGCACCCCGGAAATAGCAGTTCACAAGAGAGTGATACGTATACAAAAGAAGTAGAGGAAAAAATTACAATAGTAAGGATGAGGAAAGAAATAGAAGCAGTTCCCCCTATGTTATTCCAGCACAGTATGAGCATGACATTGATAAATCAGCCCATTTACAATACTACTGTACATGAGGACACGTCAATATCCCCCCTTTGGGAATGGCCTACAGACAACTTCAGTCAGAAACAAGGTTTAAGCTGGACTGACATTCAAAAAACAGAAACATCCAAAAGAACTAAAAAATACCTCAAAGGTCGAGATCAATCAGTCTACATTATAAAATATCATTGAAGCAAAGTCATTAACAGTCGACTATGGATGAGTTGATGTCAGGGGGGGGGTGAAAAAAAAGATCAACAATTCATCCCCAATTAACTAGCCATCAAGACGCCAAAATCAAGGGACATTATAACAAAATCTTTTACTCTATTTTAATGCTAGTAGTACTGTAATAAAATGGCAGCAAAAGAAAAGGTTACCGAGAGATATTTATTCGAACACTTTATTAATCAGCGTTCACTGGCAGCAAAAACTAACAGTACACATGTACCAATTTAATGACGCTCTGATAAAAACCCGCCCTCTCACTGCAGATGATATGTTGTATTCCTGAGTATGGTAGAAAAAATTCTAACAATCCGGACTTCAGGAAGAGAATGTTACACTAATTTACAGTCGAGAGTACTTTTCAGCCGAGTATGTTATCAAGGTTTTACTATATTTCACTCATTGTCTAGCGGTGCACAAAGCCCTTCAGCCTTGAGAAGAGGGGAAGCAACACCAACAAGAAACATGGTTATTGCGCCGTGACATCACTTACACCTACCTGCAATCCCGCTCCCCTCACCATTACATTGGGTTTGTTTTTGGTTTTTTAGTAAGTGTTTAACGGCACTTGCAACACAATAAGGTTATATAAGTGCCGAAGATTAGGTGGTACAATAAAGAAGGAGGGGAGATAGACAATTTTTTATAGGAAAGAAGAAGCAAACCACATCAGAGCACCCACCAACCACCCACTGAGAGAGAGAGAGAGAGAGAGAGAGAGAGAGACAGAGAAAGAGAGAGAGAGAGAAAGAGAGAGAACAAAACAAAGATGAAGATAAAGAGATAAGTACATGTGCAGTGGACGGCGTGAGTTGACAGGAGAAATGAAGAGGGGGAAATGAAGAAATAAAGACATAGAACGATAGAAAAACAGGGAAAGAAAAAGAGAA